GGTGCTGGGATTCAAACCCATATCATCTTCAAGAACAGCCAGTGTTCTTAACCACTGAGCCATCTCTCCAGCCCCTATTCTACCACAATTTTTAATTTGCTGCTATACATATAGGTAAAGAGGCAACATAAAACTATACCTAACTGAAAAGAATTCATGTGAGTCCAAAGATATATTTCATCTTGAGATATAAAAGTTGAATATAAAAGAAAATGAGCACTTCTTCAAATTCTTAGTGCAAGGCTGTATGCTACATTCTATAAGGGCAAAAGAGGAACCTATTCAGCCACATGTCTCACAGAAACTGTCAGTAAATGCACAGCATCTTCAGTTCCACTTTCTGGAGTCCATCCTAACTGCAGGCTCCCCACCTTCAAACACCTTCCCCAAATTCCCTGTATCATCCAGCATTCTACAGGTAGGCCTTTTTGATTGAAAGTTTACTTTATTCATGGAAATATGCCACAGCACAAAATATACTTTAACCATCAGCACTATAAAACTTCCAAATCACAAAGGCCCTTCTATTTCCTACTTCCTTCCAAGTCTTCTCGCTGGTATAGAGGGCAATGATCTGCAAAGACAGGGTACACTGATTTCTAAAATAATATTTTCCCTTTTGTTTTCTTGTCTTCTGAAACAGGGTCTCTTTGTAGCCCCAGCTGGCCTGGAATTCACTATGTAGACTAGGCTGGCCTTGAACTCACAGAGCTCTGCCTGCCTCTGCCTCCCAAGTGCTGGGACTACAGGCATGCACCACCATGCCTGGCTTACTTTCCCTGTTTTTAAAAATATTCAAATAAGGGGCTGGAGAGACGGCTCAGTAGTTAAGAGCACTGACTGTTCTTGCAGAGGACACAGGTTCGATTCCCAGCACCCACATGGCAGCTATGAACTGTCCTTAAGTCCAGTTCCAGGGGAATCTGAAGCCATCTTCTGACCTTCGTGCCAATGCACGACACGGGTGCACTCACATACATGCAGGCAATATATTTATACATATAAAATTAAAATTAAACATTTAAAAATATTCAAATAAATCCATTAGCATTGGTGTGAGTGTGTGTGTGTGTGTGTGTGTGTGTGTGTGCGCGCGCGCGCAGGTGCATGCATTGCATGTGTTTGTGGGAACACATGCATGTATGCATGCAAGAAGAGACCAGAAGTTGACATCAGGTATCTTCCACAGGAGATCTTCACCTTAATTTTTGAGACATGGTCTCTCCTTGAACCTGAAACTTACTAATTCACTAAACTAGCTAGCTAGTGAACCCCAGGGATCCTTGTCTCTACCCCCCCTTTCTCTACCAGGCTTTTACATGGGTGCTGGGGATCTGAATTCAGGTCCTCACATCTGTGAAGCAAGCACTTTACCAAGCTATCTCTCCAGTTCCCACACCGCTTTGGTTTAATAGCTAACCACATTCAGATGCCTCAATGGTCTGACTGATTGCAAATTTAAGCAATCTCTCTATAACTTGTATTTATGTAACTTCTCCCTATCTCTGTCTCTGTCTCTCTATCTCTCTGTCTCTCTCTGTGTCTCTCTCTCTCTCACACACACACACACAAGCTGTTTCACTTATTGTAACAATTTGTTCATAGTTAAGTGTCTATGAAATAATTCAGACATAAAAGTAAATAAAATAAATACCATGAATTTATCATGCAGTTTGAGAAATGAAGGCATTAGATAAATACAAAACCAAGAAAAAAGGTGAATATAAAATAAATCTAAGAACACTTGACCTACTTCTCCATGCTGTGGGTGTTCATTCTGCTTAAAGTCCTGCATGGTGACAACAAATCATCCCAAAGTTCAGTTCTTTAAAAAACAGTTACTGAAGGGAGCAGGAGAGATGGGTCAGCAGTTAAGAACACTGGCTGTTCTTGCCAAAGACCCGGGTTCAAATCCCACCATCTGCATGGCAGCTAACAACTGTCTGTAACTCCAGTTCCAGGGGATCCAACAGGGGATCTGTCCTCCGTGGGCAATGTACAATACAGGTGCACTTACTTACATGCAGGCAATACACACATACAAGTAAGATAAAAATAATAAATAAAATATATAGAAAAAAACCCAATTACTGAAGTGGCTGCAAAGATGACTCAGTGGTCAAGAGCACTGGCTGCTCTTCCAGAAGACCCAGGTCTGTTCCCTGCACCCACATGACAGCCAAGAACCATCTATAACTCCAGTTTCAGGGGAATCTGATGCCCTCTTCTGGCCTCTATGGGCATTGCACACAATCAGTGCACCTACAGACATGCAGGCAACTGATTATGACTAGTTATAATCAGATATATACATATTAGAGATGCATGCGCCAACATCTCAGTGTTATGAGCAAAATCAATGAGTCTTTCTGTAAGAAACAGTATATTTTAAAATGAAATGGAGATCTTTTTTAAAGGTTAAAAACTCATTCAATTTTATATCTTACAGGGCTTCAACTGAGTTCAATATTGTATAACAGTATTAATTCAACAGCGAACCTAAAAATTTTATAGTCACTTTTGAAAGAGATGTATCTTTGCTCTGGAAACTGTTAATGAGTATGTTAAAGCTGTAATGAAATGTTTTTTCTAAAAATAAATAAATAAATAAGAAATACAGAAATCCCCCTCCTACATAAATCAATTCTTTAACAAGTGAGTTCCAGAAATCAGTTTCAAGGTAAAAACTGTAAACAATTAACAAAAAGTTCTTTAGGCAGTTTTTCAAACCACATGAAGTTAAAACACATAATTCCAAAATAAGGTATACACAGTAAGCACACAGGATGAAGATCAACAGAAAATGGTGAAAGATAAAATGCCAGATTCTCTCCTTCAGGAAAGAAGTAAGAGCATTCTACCCATGAGAGACAGAGTGAAGATTCAGCTAATGACCAGAGAGTGCCAACGACTAGCTACATTCACCAAAGTCTTCATAGGGGTAGACTGAGGTGACTGTCTCAACCTTTCATGTCACTAAATTTCATTTTCATAAATGGACTGTGCCTACAAGTAGCAAAGTAGGGCATCCCTGCTGTCCCTTAAGAATATTCTTATTCTCTTGCACACACAACAGTCTAAGTCCCTAAATCACCACTATGAAATTAAAAAATCACAAATCAATAAACAATATTTGGGGATTCACATAAATAAGGAATAAACCACTTCTCCCTCTTTTCCAACATCTATGAATTCATACATATATTTAGTAAGCATCTACTATGTATAAAGTATGTATCTTTCTTACTTTCCAGGTACTACAAAGGACTGAAAAATACATGAACTGAATAGTCAAAGTCAGTTCTCAAAGAAGAAAGTAAAACAGCTAATAATTTACTAGTTTACAAAGACTGAGTACCACCGTAAACACATTCCTCCCAACTTTACCTGAATTCTGTAAAAGATCTAACTTTGACAAGTTTGAATTTGAATAAGTTTCTTCTATTCCTTAGGCATTTAATTTTTGAGATAATTAGGGAATGAAATCAGCTAAATCCAAGTCAAATGAGATAGTAAGATTCATAACAGAATTTTCTCTCAGCAAAGGAAAGTAAATTTCTCAAGCAGGGAATCAAGAAAAAGCAATCTTTTTTAAAATGGTAGCTTTCAAGCAGGACATGGTGGCGCACGCCTTTAATCCCAGCACTCAAGAGGCAGAGACGGGTGGGATCTCTGTGATTTCAAGGCCAGCCTAGTCTACATAGTGAGCTCCAGGACAGTTGAGGCTACAGGGAGACCCTGTCTCAGAAAAGACCAAAAAGAAAGGTATCTTAAGTAGCTTCCAGTTGGACTTAGTAGTGCCTGCAATCCCAGCAAATAGGGAGGCTGAGACAGGAAGATCTGAAACTTAAGCTTTGCACTTTTAAAAGTATAACACCAATAAAATTTAAAAAAAAAAAATCCATGCCTCATGAAAAAGTTGGCAAATCTCTTCTACAGTATCAAACAGACATCTGAACTAATATTATCAATACAAGTGGAAACCTAAAATAATGATTTCAAATGTAACTTCACAAAAGAAATACAAATTACCTGTTTGAGAACATTTGTCTACAAAACCAAAAAAACATTTTCCATAAACAACTAAATCTATTATTGTAGGCTACATCATCAGCTATGTTAAAATGTTTTAATAGGGGCTGGAGAGATGGCTCAGCAGTTAAGAATACTGGTTGTTCTTGCAGAAGACCCAGGTTCAAATCCCAGCACCCACATGGCAGCTAACAACTGTCTGTAACTCCAGTTCCTCTGTCCTCCGAGGGCATTGCACGACACGGGCGTACTTACCTACATACAGGCAATACACACATACACATTAAAAATAAATAAGTAAATCAATTTTTTAAAAAGTTTTAATAAAATCAATATGACTTAAGCTTTAAGAGCAAGGGAATCACTATTGCTCTTTTATTCACAATGACAAAAGAGGCATTCCTTGTGGCTTTAATGACTTAGAGATGACGATATTTAAAGGAAAAAATTCCTAACACATTTGTAATTTATAAGCTGTAAATAAATCCCTTTCTTCAATCATAATCCACAAAATTTCCCAGCAGACCTTTCTGCCACTAACACTTATTGGCATCAAAAATATTTATGTATAACAAGATACCTTGATAACAGAATAATCAACCAAAGGCACATGCAACACAATTTATGCCATTAACTAAAAGGAGAATGTTAAAATACTTTATACTTTATATAATATCCAAAGTCAAAGGAAACAGTCATTTAAAAAAAAAAAACATTAAATTTCCTTCAACGCGAATATGAACCATCACAACCAGTCACTGTTTATGGAACAACAGAGTAAAGCAATACAATAGTAAATAGTCCGTTACTCTGTTAAGATAATAAAAAAAAAACCATATAATTCATGGGATCCCATTAAAAAGTAAAAGACTTTCCTAAGAAGCCATTAAGACGCAGAGCAAAGAGAAACCTGTGTTTAACTGAATACTTGCGAAGCCACTGACCAACCTGTCACACCCAGAACGTACTTGCTTCATGGCAGTCTCTCCAATTTTGTCTGAATGCTTGCGGATGCTCTCCAGAAAGTCTTTAAGATCAGACATAGAAACATCTTTTATCTCTTCCCGAAGCTTAGGGATATTATCCACCATCACCTTGCAGAACCGATAGTGGCTTACTTGAGGCAGATAGGTATGTTCTAGATGTTCCAGAGTTTTCAGTGCAGGATAATGTCTGCAAAAGAAATTGATCATCTTTAGTTAAACTTAGTCTTCTTTAGGGTGACAAATATATTACTCAGAAAAAAATTCTAATCTGTTAGTTTTCACTATATATTAAGAAAAATCCAATACTGAGTTTTAGTGATAACATCATGGAAAAATTCAATTATTAAAAATTAATATATGCTGTAAAAGACTAGTAAAATAAAAAAAAGATTTTATACAAAGAATACATGAATATATCTCCCAATGAAATTAATTATATAAAGATTGAAAAAAATCTCAATGTCAAAATAAATCATTCTATAAAATCCACAAGCTAGACTTCCAAAGCTTGGCAAACTGTGTATACATGAGTGAGTGTATGTGTACCTGTGACTTATCTATCCAAAATCATTCTAAAACATCCCAGGATTTCAGCGAAATTAACCAAAGGAGAACAATACATGGAGAAATGCCCAGCAATGAAACCTGCTCAACAGAGGCACTGCTGCATTCTTGCCCAACACACTTCCATCACCTCACCTCCAATTCCCCTGGTCCTGGACATTAGTCCTAGCTAGTCCTAATAACTGGCATCTTCACTGACATACCCAAGGTTCCAGAACAATGATGGAAGAAAGGTAGAAAAAATATTTTGGAAAAAATGAGGTTTGAATACTTTCCAGGTTTATAGAAATTTGACCTACAGACCCATAAAGCTAAACAAGCCACAAGCAGGATAAATACCCACATGCAAGCACACATCCACGTATTTGCACCAAAGTGCACAAAATCAAACTGCTAAAATCAAATGAAAGACAAAGACCATTTGGAGAAAAGCCACATTACACAGAGAGTAATCAGTAAGACTATTCACACACTTCCTCAGAAACAAGCCAAAAGACAGTGAATTAGAGAGAAAGTTAGGGAAAATGAGGCCAATCAGAGAAAAGGGCCTTTTAAAAAAAAAGGATGCTTCTTGTTCCCAGAGTAGCTTTTTACTCCCCCACAGTGAGCTTTTTGCAACTGTTACATTAACCAAATGGAAAATTTATGGCTAATCACTAACAGCAGAATTAAAAAGCCTGCCAGTAGGGGGGAAGATAGAACACACCAAAGGGAGGGTATCTCCAGTGACACCAATGAGGGAGGAGAGGAGGGAGTTAGGAAAGAGGAGGGCCCCAGGATCCTATAAAGACTCAGAGCACCTGATCTAAATTCTCATTTCTGGGGGCCTTCTCCCAACCCAATGGGAACTGTTGGTTTACAACAATAAAGTTCGTCATTTCTACACTCCTCTCTCTCAAAAATGTTTACCAGTCCTCTGTGCCTATAATTTCCTTGGGTCTGATCACCCCCTTGCTCCTGCTTTAAAGTTTATGGGTCTCTTGGGCTAGCTCCCTGCTATACTCTGCTCCCAACACTCTCCCTCCTAGTCTCCACAACCTCCTGAGCACTACACTCTTAACTGCCATTTCTGTGGTAGCCATGGTTGTAGTCCCTTGGCAGCTCTGCTCTTGGTTATCACTTGTACAGCCGGGGCAGTAGCAGCTCCTAGGTCATCTCTCTCCTTCTGCCTGTCTAACCTATTTAACTAGCTGCCCCTGCTGCAGTGATCAAACCACACCTGCAGTGTTCTCACAGCTCCTTTGTGCTTGCCCCATTCCTTTTCCTGTGCTGGTGTCTTCTGCCTTCCCTGGATATTCAATTCTTTGTTTATCCCACTGAATGAAATGGACAACCACCCCCACCACAAAACCCCACAACAAAGTGATTTAGTGTGTGCAACTATACTAGCATTCTACCAACATGAAAACACTGTCAGGAGCTAGAGAGACGGCTCAACAGTCAAGAATACTGACAGCTCTTGCAGAGTACCTCTAGGTTCCATTCCCAGCACCCATGTAGCAGCTAAAAAACATCCCAGGGGATCCAGTGCCCTCTTCTGACCTCCAAGGGCATTGCACCACATGAGTGCACTTAATTATATAGGCAAAACACTCATAAGTATAAAATAACAATAAATAAATAAACCCAAAAAAATGTTTTTAATGTTTTCAAGACCTGGAATGTAGTATAGCTGGCAGAGTATTTTTCAAGCATACACAAAGCTCTGGGTTTGATCCCCAACACCACATGATCTAAGCACAGTGAGCACAGCACTGAGCAGGTAGAAGATCAGAACAAGTTTAAGGTTGTCCTCAGTAACACAGTAACTTCAAGGCTAGTTTGGACTACATATTGTAATTGCTGGGAGAGGGAGAGATGGTCTTTTTTAAGGGTGTAATGCAAGATAGGTTAACCAGGTTCTAGGTTCCAGTGGATGAAACATACCAAAGGACATTTGGGGACACAAACTTGACTCAATAGGCCTTAATATATATGATGGAATACATTAAATCCATCGTGGGCCTATAAGAGAGGAAGGGGATCTAAACATGATCAAAATACATTGTATGAAATTCACACACAAAAAATCAATTTAAAAAAACAAACAACAAAAAAAAACGATGGTATATAAAAAAAACAACTTGACTTTTTTTTCTTTTTTTTCTTTTCTTTTTTGAGAAGTATCTCTCTGTAGCCCCAGCTGGCCTGGAACTCTATGTAGACCAAGCTGGACTAGAGCTCACAGAAACCATCCTGCCTCTGCCCACCAAATACCGGAATCAAAGGTTTGTACCAGCACACCCAGCAACAATGTGATTTTTTTTTTTTTAGATAAAGGTAAAATAAAGACTTTCAAAAATATTGTATTTCTGGGAGAATTCTCAGTCATCGGATTGATCAAAAAAACGGTGGTAAAGAACTTGGCTCTGTATAAAAGAATGCAAAGTACCAGAAGCACTTCATATATGGATAAATATAAGACTTTTTCATCTTACTTTTAAATTTTTTAATGTAAAAGATGGCTTACAACAAAAATAAAAGTGTGTTATAGGCACCATACCATATTCTGAAATAAGATCAATGACAACAATAACACCAGCAAAGGGGTGGTAAAACAGAAGTATATTTTTCAATTTTTAACTGACAAATAATCACTACTCATGTTTAGAAAAGTCCACGTAAACAATAGGTAATGATTAAATCTAAGGAGTATTTCCATTTAATGGAAGTACAGATACAAGAGCCTTGCGTTGTACGTGATTTTGTCATAATTATTTAAAGATCAACTGTATGTTAAAGAACATATTATAAAATTAGAAGCAATCATTTTAAAGAAATAAAAAAGAAAAAAAGTAAAGCAAAGAGGTATAGATAATAAGGCATTAAGAAAGCAAGAAGCAATCTTTAAATATAGTTGACTGATGGAAAAGAAAGCATATACAGAGAGAAAGAATAAAAGAACAAGTCAAAAATAAATTGGGAAATAAATTTTGAGTCCTATACTGATAATTGCACTAAATATAAAAGATCTAACTATTTGAATTAAAAACCAGAGATTTTTAATCACTTATGATCTTTTTTAAAGTAATAAGATTAAGGGACTGGAGAGATAGCTCAGCAGTTAAGAACAATGGTTGTTCTTGCAGAAGACCTGGGTTTGAATCACAGCACCCACATGGCAGCTAACAACTGTCTATAACTCCAGTCAGTCCCAGGGGATATGACAGCCTCTACTGACCTCCATGGGTGCACTTACCTACACGCAGGCAA